TTTTTAGATTTATGGGATGAAACCTCTGATGATCAAGAAGACTAGGAAAACAAGGTCCTACAAAATGGAGAAATGTTCAGACTGGTTATTATAGAACTGTAACTTTGGAAAAAACAGACCAGTTCCTTGAGGAGAATGTAAATAGAAATACTAACTATAAAACAAAATCAGACATGAAAATTTTCACAGATTGGTTGATCACAAATAAGGAACTCAGAGAAGAAAAGGATATTTCACATCTAGAACTAGATTCTCAAATGGCAAGATTCTATCAGAGTAAATATTTCACAAATTTTCAGATGTACTTAAATGGTACATATGCAATTATAATAAATAACTCAAGAAAGATTCCAAAGAAATAGAATATGTGGAATTCACAGGTATTTATATAACTTAAACTAGATGTGTCAGAATGACATGAATGGCCCTGCTCGCAAAAAAAGCTTGAAGCCATTTTTAGGAGTGGAAATTTGATAAGAAAGGTTGATAATTTCCCCAAAATCAACATGGTTAGAAAAAATGCACACTCTATGGAGATTAACCTAATATTTTCAAAGTCCAAAGCCCATAATTTCAGCAAAAATCTGTGACGCAGAATAAAATGTAAACTCCATCAGCATATTAGACTCCCATACTAAAAATCAGCTCAATATGTGAAGACATTTAGAAAATTAAAGAAGAATGCCCCTGCTCAAGCTTTGCGATTTTCCAAGTTAAAAGGGACATAACTCAAATACAGTAAATGAATCACAACCCAAAATCAAACTATGTCTGTGTGTTGCAGTTCTTGGCAAATTTGTGTATGAGTTTCATAAAATTTGCATGGGGCAAACTTAAGTTAAGAGTGCGAAAACGAAAATGGGACAGCTGGACAGAAAGATGGATGGACGGTCAAGGTCACTTAATGTCTTGTTTACTGCTGGGGCATAAAAAGTCCAAAGTCCAAAGCTAGTTCTTTTGGCAGAAATCAACATAGAGGAACTAAACATAAACTTGATCTGTAACTCATCATAGTAGACTAACATACATGTACTTAAAATCAGCTGAATATGTGAAGGCATTTTGAAAAAAATTCTCTATAACTGTTATTTTCGTGTTATTTAAGTCCAAAGCCCTCTTTTTCTGCAAAAATCAGTAGAGTGGAACCAAAGGTAAACTTGATGTGTAACTCATCATAGTAGACTATTGTATCTAAAGTCAGCTCAAAATTATACAGACTTTTTGTATCATTCCACAACAAAATTATACAGACTTTTTTTCTAAACGCCTTCACATTTTGAGCTGACTTTATCATAGAATAACATACAAGGGTTATTATACATATAAAACTACATAGCCCTAAACACTAAGTGGAGAGGCAACAAAAATTATAGTCCCAGAATAGTAAATATATAAACAGTTTTGATAAATTATTTTGTTTTAGTAAATAATTAATAACAGGCTTAGACAGTGTATTAATGACAAAGAGAAAACCGTCTATGCACAACACTTTTTTATATCTAAATCATACATTATACTAGAAAGGTGTATGTATATCAATGATATTTCATATTGACTCTTTTTTTTCTTTTAACTACTGTCAATATTCAAGTTAACGTTATTTTTTATTTTATAGAGAGAAGTCAAAAAATCAGCAGCGGAGTCAAACATGGGGGTCATATATGAAGTTATGCTTGTTGTTCAGTGTGAGCAAAAGCTCCGTGTTGAAGGCCGTACTTTGAACTATAATTGTTTACTTTTACAAATTGTGACTTGGATGGAGAGTTGTCTCATTGGCACTCATACCACATCCTCTTGTATCTATTAACAGAGCCAAATAACATTTACTGTCCAGTGCAAATGTTTACAACTAAGTGATCACATGCCAGAAGATTTGAGGAACGATCCAAAGTCAAGGTTTTATATACACCTTCTTACAAACTCTTAAACTTGTCTTCCCACAATCCTCTTGGGAGAAATACAATAGGTGGCAATATGATGAAGACAATAGCAAGTGAAAGAGATTTAGAAGGCGTAAAGGTTAATTATTCCACTAAAAAGCGTTTGCTACTACATTATTACACTCAAATATGAGAAATACTGAGGTAACACAACTTGGTGGTTGGAAAAACATTCAAACTTTGATGGATTACTCTGTTTTGTCTAACAAGCAGCAGAAGGAAGCCTCCCATATCATTTCAAATGCATTATTGCCTAATGAAACATTCCGTGATAAGGACAGCAATGACTGTCAATATAGACACTACCATGTTCACTCGAGTCTGATGGTGTCTTCTGAACCAATGGCTCTTGCACCAAGGAATGACACAACCTCTTTTCACTCATTTGTTGAGGCACTATTAGGGGTTGAGCCACTATTAGGGGTTGAGGCACTATTAGGGGTCGTGTTATAAATATTAACATTTATAGTGGAAAGCAAAATCATTTTCAAAAATCTGACAGCTGTTTTATGAACAAGTTCAATGTTAAAGCTGTTGATATTTTTCATATGTAACAATAAATGTTTTCTTTGTTGATACTTTGTTTTCACCAAAGAAGATTGTGTTACACATTATATTTGCACACAAAAACTTAAACCATAATAGTACTCATGTTCTAGTTATTTGTCCAGATGGAAATTCTACAACATTAGTTAGTATCGGAAAAAAAACTACTGTTGATTCATTATTTTTCGTTGAATACCAATTTTCTTGGATTTCGTGGGTACAGGTGAACCATGAATTTAAATGTTCAATGAATTACTGTAAATTCAGAAATTATTGCGTGCATTTATTATTGCGATTTTTCAAGAATGGACAAAAATGCGAGATTAATTATTGCGATATCATGAAAATCTGCATACAGATATATGTAACAGATATCAGAATGCGAGTTCTTATTATTGCGATAGTTACCCAGTCGCATTATTGGAACCCACAAAAATAAATGAATCCACAGTAACCTAAAACATCAGTGAAATAGAAATTGAAGTCCTGTATCATGTCCTCGAATAATCTTATTGGGTCAAGATTAGCTATTGGTTGAAATTTAAAGTTAGTTGTCATAAAGTGTGTGTTTTCATATTGATCCTGTACTAGTCTTCTTACAGACATATTTGTTATCAGCCAGCTTTTGGTGTTCATTTTATGTCATTACTTTATGAAGGTGTCATTACATGTGTGTTCTTATATTTATCCGTTATTATGTCCCTGTACCCTTGTATTGGGTCTGGATCAGTTGTATTGGCACAAAGCTACAACTCAAGCCAATACAGCTAACCTCGACCCAATGGCACTGTACTTTGACTTTATATCAGACCAATTGGAAAACACCCATTAAATAACACTATAACACTAACTGAGAAAGGTTTATATTATTTTCTTTATTTAGCACATTTAAAATCAGAAATGTTAAATTTTACAGTGTCTTCCATTTCCCATGGTCAGACTGTTTATTGCCATTTTCTTAAATTTTGCTTTGACCTTTCTGTGTGTTAATTATTTATCGTCTAAAGATTCTAAACTGAGAACAGATTTTCTCAATTAAAAACAAGATGACATTATAAGCCAAGGTCATAACTCATGACGTTGTCTAGGAAAATAGCGATAAACAGATTATCTATGGTATTTCAACTCCAGGAAACATTCGGTACATCATACCTCAGGCCTTTTGCCCTTTGATGAGATTGTAAATGAGAATTTCCTCTTTTTTTCAGAACCAAAGATAGCTCCATGCTGAAGACCGTACTTTGATCTATAAAGGTTTACTTTTATAAATTTTGACTTGGATGGAGAGTTGTCTCATTGGCACTCATACCACATCTTCTTATATCTATAGGCTATAAATATAAGTCTGGTTAACCATACAAAAATAAATGTTAAGAAATAAACTAATCCTCCCCTCAAAGAAAGTGAAACATTTAAAATCTAATCTCATCAAACCTGATGTTGGAAAATCAAAAGCCTCAATAGATTTTTTAATCATATTTCATTATAATTTATAAATTTAAAGGCCTCGAAAACTACACATGATGGCAAACAATCCTACAAGGTATGAGAACTTTCTGTTTAACAGACTGAGAGGCATTGTGTCTACAAGGTGTCATTGTTATTATACTGAAACAAATTGTGTAAGTCCTATTACTCAAGTAAAAATTGTTTAATCTAACTGACAATATAGCATGGTACATGAGAATATGATGACAAAATCCTACCAAGTATGGACGCTTTATGTTAAATAGTCACTGAACATAACCATTCCCCCAGCTGTGAGATCTGCAGGGGAGAAAAAAAATTGTTAAGACTACCATCCATAACAGTTTATCTAAATTCATGAGACAAAGTTGTCAAGTCACAACTGGATATTTGAAAATTTTCAGCTGGAGTTTGGGCCTCATAACTTGAGATTTTTTATCAAAGTCGGACTACCACTCTCCCGTCAAAGAAAGCAAGTTTGCTGTGCTGTAGGAAAATGTCCCCCAGAGGGATAAATGAGGAATTAAATTGAAAGACACAATATGTCAATGTGGTTCAATAGTCAAATTATGCTTATAGTCCTTAAATATGTTCAAATCAAAATAATGGTAATTTATTGTCAACTTAACATGAAAGCAAATAATATTTCCAAGTTTGAGAGGTTTCTGTAAAAGATTATCAGAGGAACTGCATTCACAAGGTGTTGTTAGTTACAATACTTTTGAAATGGTCAGTTCAAAAAATCCCTTCAAAATGTTCAAATCTAAATGATCATTTAATATGTATAAAAGAAGATGTGGTATGATTGCCAATTCTCCACAAGAGACCAAATGACACATAAATTAACAACTATAGGTCACCGTACGGCCTTCAACAATGAGCAAAGCTCATACCGCATAGTCAAGATATAAAAGGCCTCGAAAACTACGCATGATGGCAAACCAGGTATGAGAACTTTCTGTTCAACTGATTCAGAGGCATTGTGTTCACTAGGTGTCATTGTTACTATACTGAAACAAATTGTGTACATCCAATTACTCCAGTAATCAAAGCACGAAAGCGCTGTAAAGGCAGTTAATTACAGGTTGTGTGTATTTTAAGTCTAGTTACATCATTATCTTGCATAGTACAGTGTACTTATCAGAGGTGGCTTTCAGTATTTAAGATTTAGAGTTCTCTAATGATATTGAATAAGTTTTATGAATGTCATATTCTGAGCACTATATGAAGGCGATTGTTCTCACTTGTTTATGAACTAGTGCATTATGTCCAGTTTGTACCTTTTTTATCTATGTTTATAGTCAAATTAGTTATCAAAGGTACCAGGATTATAATTTAATACGCCAGACGTGTGTTTCGTCTACATAAGACTCATCAGTGACGTTCAGATCAAAATAGTAACAAAGCCAAACGAGTACAAAGTTGAAGAGCATTGAGGACCCAAAATTCCAAAAAGTTGTGCCAAATACGGCTAAGGTAATCTATTCCTTGGATAAGAAAATCCTTAGTTTTTTCATTGGCAATCATAACACATCTCCTTATTTATATAATGATCTATATTCAACGACCTCAGGTACAAAAAAAATGTATGTAACTAAACTATGATGGGAAACCTTTGACTTCTTTCTTTATATAAACTTTTGATTTGGTACCATAGAACTATGTAGAGTAAATGTACATTGCAACATGTCAACTCTTTCAACTCTAAGCAAAATTATATTTCCAAGCATAAAGTAATTTATGAATGAAATAATATGAACACAACATTCAAGCTTGATTCAGCACTGAATTTGGATTGTAATTAAATATTTGACACAGCATAGGTTTCTGACACAGAATGAAAGTGGTCTAAGATACTTAAAAAAATTTAATTTACCTATTCAAACCATATCATTATTATTTGCTTTTATATATAAATCAGAAATAACCAATTTAAAATGGAAAATTTTTAAGAAAAAAAAGGAAAAAGAATCCCCCCCCCAAATTTTTTGAACCCCCTTATGATTCATCACCCCAAAACTCAATCCCAGCCTTCCCTTTGTGGTATGGTACCTTGCGGTACAATTTCAGAGAGATCCATACACTTGAACACATGTTATTGTCTGGAAACTAGAAAAATGCTTGTTTTTTTGCCCCTTTTTGGTCCCAAATACCTAAACGTTTAGGGCAATTACCCCCAAACTCAAACTCAGCTTTCCCTTTGTGATATTGAACCTTGTAGTACAATTTCATAAAGATCCATACACTTACACACAAGTTATTGCCATGAAACTAGAAAAATGCTTGTTTTTTGCCCCTTTTTGGCCCCTAATTCCTAAAATTTGGAGGCAATTACCCCCAAAATCAATCCCAGCATTCCCTTTGTGATATGGAACCATGTGATACAATGTCAGAGAGATCCATAGACTTACACACAAGTTAGTGTCATGAAACTAGAAAAATGCTTGTTTTTTGCCCCTTTTTGGCCCCTAATTCCTAAAATTTGGAGGCAATTACCCCCAAAATCAATCCCAGCATTCCTTGTGGTATGGTACCTTGCAGTACAATTTCAGAGAGATCCATACACTTGAACACAAGTTATTGTCTGGAAACTAGAAAAATGCTTATTTTTGGCCCCTTATTCCTAAACTTTTTGGGCAATTACCCCCAAACTCAATTCCAGCTTTCCCTTTGTGATATGGAACCTTGTAGTACAATTTCATAAAGATCCATACACTTACACACAAGTTATTGCCATGAAACTAGAAAAATGCTTGTTTTTTGCCCCTTTTAGGCCCCTAATTCCTAAAATTTGGAGGCAATTACCCCCAAATTCAATCCCAGCATTCCTTTTGTGATATGGAACCTTGTGATACAATGTCAGAGAGATCCATAGACTTGCACACAAGTTATTGTCATGAAACTAGAAAAATGCTTGTTTTTTGCCCCTTTTTGGCCCCTAATTCCTAAAATTTGGAGGCCATTACCCCCAAAAATCAATCCCAGCATTCCCTTTGTGATATGGAACCTTGTGGTACAATGTCAGAGAGATCCATACACTTACACACAAGTTATGTCTGGAAGTTACAAAAATGCTTATTTTTGGCCCCTTTTTGGCCCCTAATTCCTTAACTGTTGGTACCATAACCCCCAAAATCAATCCCCACTTTCCTTTTGTGGTATTGAACCTTATTTTAAAATTTCATTGAGATCCATTCACTTAAACTAAAGTTAGAATGCGAAAACTAATGTGTCTTCGGACGACGACGCCAACATCATACCAATATACGACCACAAAAATTTTTTTGCATTCGTATAAAAAGGAGTTCTTAATTAAGAAATAAACTGATTAGCTGAGCGCAGCTGGATACACCCACAGAGGTACTACCCTGAACAGCTGGGGCAAAAATGGACACAATATTCAAGCTTGATACAGGTCTGAATTTGGATTGTAATTAAATATTTGACATATTATAGTTTCTGAATAAATGTAGTCAATGAACTTGAAATCGGTTATATGAATTGAATTTATATTCAATTAAAGATTTCTTGCTGTTGTGCAATACACTGTGCTGTTGTGCAATACACTGTGCTGTTGTGCAATACTTAATAAATCTGTTGCCAGACTATAAACAAATAAAGTTCAATTTCTTCTCAATGTCATATTTGAAATTTATGAAAATCAATAGGGAGATTACATCAATAGCTATAAATAATTCACCAAAGTTTCATGTGATCTGCTTAAAGCATTTTTGAGTTGTTGTCCAAAAACTGGAAAATCCCCCCTTTTTTAATGAATAAAACCCCATAACTCAGAAATGTAAAATCTAAAATTTATAAAATTCTAAAGGGAGCTTACGGATTGATAATTTAGTCTTAGATGCAAGATTTTTTTATCAGTTGTTAGTGGCTTTGAACTAGCTGTCAGTAACTGCGAGTACTCTCAGATTTGTACTTAGTGTCTTTTTGTTGTTTGGATGTACAACTACCCGACCACGTCCACTTGTATTTGTATTTATCCATCTGATGAGTTTAGCCTCTTTCAACTGATTTTTATAGTTCTTTCTTATATTGTACTGTTACACCACTGTCCCAGGTTAGGGGGAGGGTTGGGATCCCGCTAACATGTTTAAGCCCGCCACATTCTGTATGTACATGTATGTGCATGTCCCAAGTCAGAAGCCTATAAAAGTGTAATTCAGTGGTTGTCGTTTGTTTATGTGTTGCATATTTGTTATATTTGTTCATTTTTTTACATAAAATAGGCCGTTAGTTTTCTTGTTTGAATTGTTTTACATTGTCATTTCTGGGCCTTTTAAAGCTGACTGTGCGGTATGGGCTTTGCTCATTGTTGAAGGCCGTACTGTGACCTATAGCTGTTAATTTCTGTGTCATTTGGTCTCTTGTGCATGTGTGGAGAGTTGTCTCATTGGCAATCATACCACATCTTCTTTTTTATATTTACATCAACAGATATAAAAAATTCACCAAAGTCAAGGTGAGACAACAAAACTTAGTTGTAAGATCTCTGAAATTTTTTACAGGTCACGAGTTTTTCTCATTGTTGGAGATTGTACGGTGACAGTAACACCTGTAACTGCTTAAACCCATTTCTTATGCACTTTAGTTTGATAAACTCACTGAATATCATACCACATCTCCTTATTTTTATATGCATTACAATTTACATGTGCATGTAATTGTAAATATATATATATCAGAACAAAATTCATTGCGTCACTTTTATTTATGCATCCTTTGGCACAATACAAGTTCTAAAATTACACAAAATAAAACAACTAAATGTTATTTCAGATGAAAGTTTTGTTTCAGTTCCATTCATAGGATTTATTAGAATTTTGTATGTTTTGCTAAGTCCAAATTACACAACATAAAACAACTAAATGTTATTTCAGATGAAAGTTTTGTTTCAGTTCCATTCATAGGATTTATTAGAATTTTGTATGTTTTGCCAAGTCCAATAATTCGCTCTATGTGACATAGAGACATAGTTGACTAAACCACCAGGTGTCGAACATTCAAGAATTTTCAGTGTTTCTGTTTTTATTTGATGAAAAGGTTGCCTGAGCTCTAGGAGCTTTAGGTTTTATCACGGGATATTCTGTGCTGTCAATAATAATCCAAGTCGTAGGAAACTTTAATTTGAAGTTGGATGGTGAAAAATACCTGACTCAACCACTAGATGGCCAAGTGTTAGCCTCACACCACTGTTTAGACATAAAAACAATCCATGTATACACAATATTCTTAACACTAGATTCAATCTAGAATCTAGACAGTTCAAAGTTGGTTGTATGATGCCTCAATTTCATCAAAGTCATAAAAAAACTGATTTTCAACTGACACCCTATCAATTTGAAAATATATGCATCTCAAACAATGTGCTGCTGGACCAAGTGTGGTCAAAACAAATAAAAATTTAGTATACAACTCTAAACCGGTATAAAAATGCATGGCTGTGTCACGTGTCTTCATTTCAAAATTCTCTGTTAAAAACATAGGCATTGATGGTGTTTGCGTAATTCCATCTGTGAAGCTCAACATTAGCTCGGCAGTTGGTGGTGGACAGTCATAAATCCTTTCTGCAGTATGAATGACTTCTTCAGGAAAACCAACTTTACAATCAAAACTTTCCTCTAGATTTCTACTACAATATTCATCAAGTTTAGTTCTTTTGTTTTCATAGGAAACTGCCCTGATTTTTCTTTTTGCGGACGATTCAGTTTCTTGCTTGGTCCAGGAAAATAGGCTGGGAATTGCAGTAGACTTAAGTCTCTGTATGGTGGGTTTGCGCCCTGAAAAAGGTTATAAAACATTAGTTTTTTTATAATTAAATGAACTTCCATTAGCAATGTATACTTTGTACTACCTGGCGAAATATTAACTAGATTTATTCATTACAATCTGGATAAAACTATGTTTGCCTGATTCAATGTATGTTATGTAAATCCAAAGTACAAACAATGAGAGACTTATGCAACAAACGTACATTGTTTGTACCTAAATAACTATAATATAGATGAGAGCATGTCATTGTTTTGTTCCTGTTAACATTGTCATTGATATTTTTCAAGAAAGTCTATGAGGCATAGCTTATGCATTCCTGTCATTACTACATTAGCATAATTACTGCTAAAATAATTCTCAGTATGATATACCTCTTGTAAGAAATCATTATAATTGTAGCAATCACCAAAAAATCTCAAACAGATCACATTGAATCGTAATCCAAAAAATTATGACGTCTTGAATTACCCACCCCCTTTTATTCTAAAACGATAATTGCGGTTGTAAACAGACTTTGGTTTATTCGCATGGCGATTACATATATAACTATATATTTCACAAAGAAAATAGAGTTTTACCATGAATAGTTTCCTGCACGTAGTCTTTTTCAGTAAAACGTGCCTTGCAAACAACAGCTGATTGAGATGGACTCCACGATATCATCGTGTTCTCGTCCAATCTGCGTATGGGCCATGGCGTTGATCCAACTTTTCCTTCTTTTTAAGTCATTTGGAAATGCATGTCCTCCTCTTAAATGACATCCAGGTACACAACAACAAGTACTTGGCATCATTAATTAAAAATATAACTGAAATAGTTGCACAGTGCAGAAACCGGAAGAAGAGGAACAGGATCCGCTACCACGGCGCCACCTATTCAGGAACGATAATTTGCTACTTTATATAACTGCGAAAATAACGTTAGACGGGTTCACGTGCATAAACAGAAATGCGCTTTAAATTGTATAATATAATTCATGTTCACATGGTTCAGTCGACCTTTAATTATTATATCAACGACTGAAATGATTTATAAACATCTAGATTGCAGATAACACTCGAAATTAACCCGAGCTCTTTCCACACGGAATTCAAATAATTCTAGTTTGTCAATCGGTTGACTGCTTATAATGCAAAATACTAATATATCAAAAGTTTTTAAAACTAACAAAACACAATGATCGTTTCTCTATTTCCCAATGTAAATGAAATGAAACAAAAAACATTTTATATCGCAATAAGAAGAGGAGAGAATTCAACATTTCCGGATCTACTTAGAGTTTAATGACCCCCCACGTAGATAAGTTGGATATCGCGGAAGGAAGGATTAACCCGGCAACTAGAAAGGCATTAAAGCACTGCCTTTAAAAACTGTTTAATCTAACTGACAATATAGCATGGTACATGAGAATATGATGACAAAATCCTACCAAGTATGGACGCTTTATGTTAAATAGTCACTGAGTACTGTTTCAGATGAATGGCCAGCCAGAAGGACAGAGAACATAACTATTCCCCCAGCTCTGAGACCTGCAGGGGAGAAAAATATAAAGATAGTTAAGACTACCATCCCCCCTTCAAAGAATACATAACAGCTTATCTAAATTCATGAGACAAAGTTGTCAAGTCACAACTGGAGATTTGAAAATTTTTCAGCTGGAGTTTAGGCCTCATAACTGGAGATTTTTTATCCACGTTTTCAGTGTTCATTTTGATAATATAGCTACAAATTTCCCTTTTTATTTTAGAAAAGAGTATTATTGTTAATGTATTCTCTTAACAAATAAAAGTAGAACTCAATTTTGCATTTAATATGGTACAAAATTACTTTGAACTCCTTTTGACTTACTGAAGAAAATGGTAAGTTTTACAGCATCTATTCATTAATCAGTTATAAAAACTTATTAAGTAAACAACAATACAATTTATGTGTACTGGGTAGATTTCACTGTCTTGTCACCTACATAAAAAGCTTTAATATTTCTATCTAAATTTTCTCTCATTTCTATCATTTTTCATCTTTTTTTTTATGTGTTCCACAATTTTTAAAGTTTGTTCCCATATTAAGGTACATACTTGTGAGTAAATAAATGTGTTATCCATTTCAATTTTAGCACTGAAAAGAAATATAGATTTCTCAAATAATTTTCAAAATATAATTTTTAATTTTTCCTCAGAAAGTTAAAATCATTTGTAACATGAATGGTAATTTTTCCTTTGCTCTTGGAGTGAGTTAACTTCTGTTATTTCAGAGGGGTGCTTTAACTGAATCAAAGAATGGGAGTAAAAAAAGTATAACAAAAATACCTAACTCCAAGGCAAATTCAAAAAGGGGAAGGCAAGTCCATAAAAATCAAATGCTATCAATCAATGGAACAAGAGAAAAACAACTGTCATATTCCTGACTTGTTAGAGGCATTTGATGAAAAAAATGGTGGATTAAAACTGGTTTTATAGCTAGCTAAACCTCTCACTTGTATGATAGTTGTTTATAGTTCCGTTATATTGGGAAAGTTGGGTGAGCAACCAAAACAGACATAAAAGGTTAATGTGACAATAATTGGGATCCAGCAGCCAAAACTGTGTAAACATATATAAACAGACATACAACACAACTGACTCAAAAATTCAAACAAAACACACAAATAAATCTAACAAAGACGCCAACATAAAAGGTATAGTAGATAGTAAATTTGACAATGAATGACTTCAACAAAAAAGTTTTTGTTGTTGATAGTACATACTGTATATAGCATACACTTTCTCCATAAAGTAAAATTTAGTAAATATAATTACAAACGTAAACAAAATAGAAGCAACACTGTTAAAATCCTTTGCGTCTAAATCGCACCTCAGGACCCACCAGGAATGCCCGAAGTTAAAAAGTAAAAAACCTGATGGTAGGATGCAAAAATACTGAGTCACGTCAAAATTCATACGATCAAAAGAAACATAATAGCACAAAAACAAATAAGGGAGAAACTAAAGTTAAAGTAAAAAGATACACAACTTTAGCACCTAGAATCTATAACTCAAGACCATCTTGTATTATTTATGAAGTAGCCACAGAATATTTATATCTTAGGTCTTGGCACTTTAGGACAAGACATTCTCTGACAAAACCCTTGCTCATTAATTTGTTGCTCAGACACTGAGGACTTTTTACAAAGTCTGAAGAGCAAATTAGACCAGTGTTTCAACTTCCATCTCCCAAGTTGTTAATGCATCGTCCGGCTTCAACTAGTAAACAATGAAAGAATGAAACAAAAAGTAAAATCAATGACCCGAATATATGTCACTGAATGATCAGTCATTTAATTTCCTCAACTTTTCAAAGGTCTTTCTATGTATATATAGCATGCTTTCCCCTTGAACATATGTGATCAACTTCTAAACCTACATATCGTGGGTTAGGGTAAATATAATAATCCAAGTTCTATGATTTACAGGTAAAATAAAGTTAACTTCATCAAGGCCACAAAATCCACGATATTAGAGATTGACATCAATCGTTACAAAAAATGGAGACTGACAAAACAAATTTTTAAAACCAAAAGATTTGAATTATTAACTGAAGGTAAAGGGGAGGGCTTAAAAAATTGGGAGATTTTGACTCCTGCAGGAAAAATCACGTCTGTATCTATTTGGAAATGAACGAATTTGAAGTTAAATAATTAATCTTACCAGTGTAAACATATTTTTGTATATTGTTTGGTAATAAATATTGCTAAAAAAATGTTTTGTTTTTGGGTAAATTTTAAAATTTGAATTCAGGATCAATAGGGCAAGTCAATACTTAGAAGTGGTCCTAATTATTAACACATTCAAAGTTCATAATCATTAGTTTTACTAAAGAGAAAAGAAACATCTTGCTTTGAATGAAATTTAAACAATAAATAGAGCTAATCCTTCAGAACAATACAGCTGTTATGCTCAACCGAGGTAATATTTTATGAATAACATTCTAAAAAATTTTTTTTTTCTTTGTCAATAAGGCCGTCTGAATTAAATTGACTTGAAATGTCAGTTTGTTTTTTATTTCTTGATTTGTATCTATAAGAAGATTTTCAACATTCCAGGAACATATATAAAATAGTCAGGTTTGACATTAGAAACAAAAAGTTTTATTTTCCCATCCTTCCCTAAAAGAGCATAAACGATTGAAAAGATCTTACTTTCAATTTCCAATTTGTGAATCATATTGCAACTTCAATTTGAAATTTAAAATTGAATTTGAAAGTCATGACTATAGAAAAATTTACTGGTACTTTTTGGTTGCATTTGCACAGATTTTTGAAAAATGCAGTACATGTACTTCATTTGGGCCAAAAACATTATCCTTTGAGCCATTTTTCAGGTAACATAAATAATGATTAAAGTTTCAATCTAAATTAAGTATGTAAATAAGTGCATACTAATTTCTCATACATACCTAAAAGTCACTCAGGTATAACATTGTACACATCTGAAGGTGTCAAGAATGACATAATTCAATCTGAGACAAACAGAATTAATAAGTCTGTATTTTTTCCATAACAACACATAGATTATCCAGTGTATTGAAGAATAGAGTAAAGTCTTAAAAGATGCAAACAAGAGGCTCCCTAGAGCCTGAATCGCCCAAATGGTAAAAAATATGCCACTTTGATATTTATTTTTTTCCTTCATTGCAATCGGTTATATAGTAATAAATGTAACCAAATTTCAAGGGCAATAACTCCTAATAGTGGACAATTGACAATTTCAGCCAAGTTTACTAATTTGTAGATCTTATTTTGCTGAACACTTTTGTTTAAAGTTTAATTCTTATATGCTAGGTGTGTTATCATCTACACGAGACATATCAGTGGCACTCTTATCAAAACAGTCGGGAAGGACAAATCAAACAGAAAGTTTAACACTGAAAACCAAAAATTCCAAAAAGTTGTGTCAAATTGGCTAAGGTTTAAATTTCATGTCAGTACAGAAGTGCTGACAACTGTTTTGATGATACACTTTGGGAGGAATAAATGACAGACAGTGGCATCAACCCAATGGTTGTAAAATAATATGAAACAAACCAGCTTATAATTAGGACTCCAGACCCGTATTTGTTCACATGTTACTCATCAGTGGCATTCAAATAAAAACATTTGGAAGGCCAAATCAAATACAAAGTTGAAGAGCACTAGAACTGAAATCCATCAAGAGTGCTCACTCTTAAATTTCTAATCTGCATTACTGATAATTACTGAATTTTATGTTTTATGTCTTCAAGATCAAGGTTTTATTACATGTATCACAAAGAAATAATATCATCAATGATCTATGAAAATGAGGTCAAGGTCAGATGAACCCTGCAAGAAAGATGTTTACCCTTTACAATCATTCCGTACACTAAATATAATTAACTTATAGTATCATTCTTAGGTATCATTCATGTGTTTCAGACAGACTAAAGGAGGGACAGAAGGACAGACAAAGCTAGTAAAACTGTATCTAGACCTGCTGAGGTTACTACAAGTTTGACTTTCTCTGCTCTTACCGTTTCCTCCAGCTCCCTGATCGTGTATGCTTGCAATAGGGTTCTTTTGTCTCATCTCTATACAGGCTCTAATCAAGCGATTCAATTTCTGTTCCATTTCTGAATCGCCCCTTTGGACTGCCCCAAAATCTAATTCCTCCTTGTTGTCCCCTTGAACTTGCACTGATGATGCAGCTCCCCCACCTACTCCTATCCTGTAGATTGGTCCCCCTAACTTCACTACTTCCATACCTGAAAAATAAGGAATGGTAATATTCAAACCTTTCTTAATATGGAATAATCAACATAATATCATTTTAACAAAGTTTGTTTGTCAACTGTGTTTTAGTACATAAGCTTAAATATAACAAAGGTGTGCAAAATTTCAGGATTTCAATTTTTGCATATTTTTTTTTTATAATTGAGGCAAAGTTTGATTCAACTAGGCAGGTGGTTGATGATGACGATGGATGGCTGCTTAATGTCCAGCAGCAAATTAATATGCATATTCAGGATGAGAACATGTCAATGTAATATGAATACTAACCCTGCTTTGTACTAGACCGACACGCTGAGCCGGATTTTATACGTGCTATTTCACAAGGTAACAGTCCGCAGGGAGACATGTCATCTTACATTATTCTGACTTCCAGCTGACCAGTCTTTAATCTTACTCCTTAATGCCATGTGCTTAGTGGAAAAGCAGCAAATACCAATTTTAAAGTCCTTGGTTTGACCCGGCCAGGGTTCCAAACCATGACCTCCCGCACTCAAGGCAAACACGCTACCAGGAGACCACCAAGACGTTGGCAGGTGGTTGAGAAGTCTATTTTTCAAATGGGTTTCAACCATGGATTAACAACAG